CAGACAAACAAAAAGTATACAATAAATGGGAAACAAAACATATTTTCAGATCATTTTTGTTTTACTTCTCAATGATTAGCTGAGAACAAAGTAAATAGTCAACTATTCAAAAGCGCTCAAGCTTGGTCTTGAAATTCATTGCACTTCCCATTAGTCAGATGTTCTAAATTAGGCTGACTATTCTTGAGCCCTAAGATCTCTAAACTGGTCATGTGTCGAGAAAGGTGAACTTGGAAGTTCAAAGTACTACGTAACTAATGTAATCAATTGTTTGATATAAAATAAAATATGTGTGTATCTTTATATTTTTCATCATTAGAAAAAAAAAAGGCTTACAACAATAAAACCCGCTTAGTTGGTTTTCAAGTCCCACAGATCCAAAAATTATAACATAATTGAAAAAAACAATGAGTTTTTTCTCGAGAATTACAGCCCTCGAATGTTATACAACGTTGTGTTTTTTTTTTTATTGTCCGAAAGTGTCATATAATGATATGCATTTTGTGAGACGACATATCGAATTAAAGAGACAGTGGCATTTAAGGCTACCTCTCACTTGTGTGTGGTGTCTCTGTAGTCGTATTTATATAGAGTTGCTTATCATCATTGTTTCAGCGTCAGTAGATGGAACTTTAAATTTCATTTGGTTGCGTTGGTATACAGATCCAATGTGGTGTTATCAAAGTTTGCAGTAACAGAAATACCTGTAAAAACGAGTATGAACGGCTACTCAACCGCACCGTATCTTGATGGTTTACACTGAAATTAGTTCTTGTTTAAGTCAACCAGAATATATCACACCGATATAAAGTCTGTAAAAATGCAAATACTTATCCAGTTGCCATTACTTATCGCTTGTGTGTTTTCAAGTGTGTATCTCAAACTTGGGACCTGCAACGAGAATACACGCTAACAATTTCGAAAGCGTTCACCAGACTTCAGTAAGCTTCCTTCATTAAGACTTTTCCGTCAACATTACTTCGTACTGAGTTTTATAATTGTATTTGTACTATAAAATTATTCATTCTTTCTACTTTATCTTGGCTCGAGCGTGGCCTATATTGATTAGTATATCGGAATGGATATCCAAAGGTCTTGGGTTCAAGACATTCTGCTGCCAAACACGCTTCGCACTTTTAGCTATAATTATGTTATAAGAGTGGCAGTTAATCTTGCTGTTCGGTTAAGAGTAGTCGCTTCAATTAGTAGTTTCTGTCAACTGGTTTTCTTTACTCTGGCCACGGTTCAGAATTAGGGACGGTTTTACTTGAATCGTTGAGTCTCTGTTCTGGCCATTTAGCCTATTGTGTGCATAAATTGTCGTTCAAATAAACAATCAAACTATTTTATTTTTAACTGTCATTTCTTGTAAGATATGTCATTTCGTTCTATCAAAGGATTTTGTGCTATTTTTCAATATTATTACCCATAAAGGCAAGAGTGAAAAATACTTCAAAACTAATAATTATTTCACTTCTTCAGTTTCTGTTTCCTGTATACATTCAGTGCCTTCAAACAGCAAAAACCAACGCCATCACAGAAGGTTTAAAACATTTCATTTATTTTAGTATTTTTTTAGTTTTTTTAATCTGCTAAATTCGTTTTCATTGTTTACGTACGTTAATATAGGGGATATAACTTTTCTAAACCCTAACCACCAATCACCATCTGTAGTTCTTTACGTGAAGTTCCTAACTTTAAGAGGAAAATAATTATGTAGCAACTTATCATTTTATCACAGATAATTCTATAATCTTTGAATAATAATCTAGATTAGGGTGTGGTTTGTTTTGGTTTGAACTTCGCGCAAAGGCTACACGAGGTAGATTAGGGTTTCTACCACATCATGTTAGGTTCATAATGCTCCTCGTGCGAATTAAAACCTAATTTTAAGAGCTTAAAAAGAAATTGATTTATTTCGTGGTATTTTTGTATCAGTAATTATACTAAAGATTGTTCAGTTCGTTATTTTCACACACTTGCTGAAAATGGAATATGTCCAAAACGTTCATTAAAGATGTTTACAATTGTTTAGGAGGAAACATTACATTTAGGTTGTGAAATGAGATATATAGCACCAAACTCATATTTACAATAATAAAAATGGCCAGGTGGTTAAGGCACTTGACTCGCAATCTGAGGGTCGCGGGTTCGAATCCCT